AATTTGCCTGAAAAATATCCATGCATCAGCCAATTCTCCTGCTCACTTTTTTTTTTTTTTCCCCAAATCAATTTCTGGAAGTCAGAATGACGGATAGCTTTATGCCCCAGACAATCATTCTCCTGATTAAATAACTCAACATCAATAACAGAACAAGTCCCAGAGTGGTGCTGGTTACATGATCCTACATATGTGGTGAGATTTCACAGAACCACACACACAAAGGCGCCCCGCCCCCAACACACACCCCCGTGCAAAAAAAAAAAATAACAGGGACATCTGAGCCAGGCCTAGGCTAGTCACCATTATCCATTTCCTGATGTGGCTAATGTACTCTGGGGTACATGGAAACGCTGTCCTTGGGGGACAGAGGACACAGGAACTGCACGCGATTTCCTCAACCTCTTGGGAGTCAAAAATCATGTCAAGAAATTTTAAATAATATCTGGGCGCATGACGCAGGCCTGTCATCCCAGCCACGCGGGAGGCTGAGGCAGGAGGGTCGCGAGTTCAAAGCCAGCCTCAGCCAAGGCGAGGCCCTCAGCAACTCAGGGAGACGGTGTCTCTAAAGAAAATCCAAAATAGGGCTGGGGATGGGGCTCCGTGGTCGAGTGCCCCTGAGTCCAATCCCCAGTCCCTCCCTCCCAAGAAAAAATCAAATAATAAAATCAAATTAAAATGATGCTTTTTTCTCAAAGCGCACCCTTACCTGAGAGCTGGGGATCAGCGCCTTCCACCAGTGCCCGCCCTTCACCAGGTCCACCTCGCACAGGGGCACGGACACTTTCCCAATGACGCAGTGGCGGGAGAACTTGTCGAAGTCCACCACGGTCAGCAGCAGGGTCCTCCGCTGGGCCTCGAGGAAGGGGATCTCGAAGGTGTAGCGCTCCTCGAACACGGGCTTCTGGGTCTTGCGCTTGACGGCCGTCTGCTTGGAGTTCTTCTGGTCGGGCAGCAGGCACACCTTGACGTAGGGGTTGGAGTGCGCCAGGTCCTGGCGCGCGCCGTCCTGGGCGAGCGGGGGCGGCAGGTCGCGGGCCTCGATGACGCGCACCGTCAGGTGGTTGTGCAGCAGGTCGTACTGCGTGCTGAAGTGCAGCATGCCCAGCTGGTACCTGGACAGGATCTCCTCGTCCGTCAGCGAGTCCACGTCGTCGCTGCTCGAGTCCAGGGAGTAGAGCCGCGGCTCGAACTTCCGGAAGTAGTCGTCGGGGGTGTAGGTCCGGCGCAGCACCGACGGCTGCACGGGCTCCTTCTTGGCGCCGAGGACGCCGAACTCCATGGGCTTGATGTCGATGAGCGGGGAGCTGGGGCGCCGCGACTCCAGACCTACCCGGCCCCAAGAAATGACCGTGAGTACCGCCACCTGGACGGCGGGGGCCTCGGGGGCAGCACGCAGGCTCTCAGGTCCACTCTGCTCTGAATGCTCTTCTCGGCACACTTGGAAATAGGGCTGTCCCTCCATCTGTGCGGGGGACGGGTTCTAGGATCCCCCCAGATACCAAAACCACGTGGGCGCTCAAGTCCCTGGTAAAAAACGTGGCAGTGTTTGGGGCCGAGAACAGGGGACATCCCCCTGTCCCTTTCCAGGTTATCTCTAACCCCTAGTCCCCTCTCAGTGCCAAGTGCTACGGAAATAACTGTCCCACTGTGTGGTGGAGGGATAACCACATGTCCCATTCAGACTCTTTCTTTTTTCTCTGAGTATTTCTGATCCACAGCTGGTGGAACCCGGGACACAAAACCCTTTTAATATTGAGACAGAGTCTTGCTAAGTGGCTTAGGGCCTTGCTGAATTGCTGAGGCGGGCTTTGAACTCGAAATCCTCCTGCCTTAGCCTTCCAAGCCACTGGGATTACGGACGTGTGACACAGGGCCGAGTGGACTCTCCATTTACACCAAGATCACACCATCGCCACCCTCACAGCAGCCAAGGGCCAGGTACCTTCCAGACGGATTGTGTGTCCCAGGTCACCTCATCTTTTCAGCCCCTTGAATTATTAGGTTCACTCTCGTGCCCGCTTTACAGATGAGGAAGCAGAAGCTTTAAGGAACGTCCCAAAGGTCACAGGCTTCTAGGTGGAGGAACCAGGTGACGATCCTGGCCCACCTGGCTGTGATCAGGACCCTGGGCTGCCCCTCCTGTAAGAGCCAGCGTGCCTGGCTCAGACTCCGCTTGTCTACTTATTCCTGAGCGCTGGGACTCGGGGCATTTTATTATAGACTCTCTAGGGTTCAGTTTTCCCATCTGTAAATCTGAGTCACTGCGGGCTCCTACATCAAAGATGGTGGCACAGGTGCCTCCCCCGCACCGTGAACCTGCAGAGGTCAAGGCCTCCACATCTGTCACTCTAATCTTTGCTCCTCCCTCTGTTCTGAAGATGACCTCATCGCATTCTCTCTCTCTCTTTTTTTTTTTTTATTGGTTGTTCACAACATTACAAAGCTCTTGACATATTATACTTCGAAAAATAGTTTCAAGTGAGTTATGAACTCCCATTTTTACCCCAAATACAGATTGCAGAATCACATAGGTTACACATTCACATTTTTACATAATGCCATACTAGTGACTGATGTATTCTGCTACCTTTCCTATCCTCTACTATCCCCCTCCCCCCCATCTTCTCTTTCTATCCCATCTACTGTAATTCATTTCTCTCCTTCTTTTTTTTTTTTTTTTTGGTACCAGGGATTGAACCAGGGGTGCTTTACCACTGAGCCACATCCACAGCCCTTTTTATTTTGAAACAGGGTCTTGCTAAATTGCTGAGGCTGGCCTTGAATTTGCAATCCTCCTGTCTCAGCCTCCCAAACTGCTGGGATTACAGGCGTGCACCATCACGCTCAGCACAACATTTTTGTTAATTGCCCGAACATCTGTTTTACAAGCAAACATCATGAGAATCTTGCCTGAGGCACGGGAGGTCTGCTGATAACTGTGAGAACAAAATCCCCCGTATTCAGAGCTGGGAGTGAGACTTAGGAATCATGGAGACCAGCGCTGTCCACAGAAATACAATGACAGCCAGGAGCGCAAGCCATGAGAGTGACTTAAAATGGTCTAGCCACCACAACTTTTAAAACATGCAGAGAAACAGGTGAAATGAATTTTCACAATTTATTATTTGACCTACTAGTTGAGCATCACTCATCTCAAAACCCAAAATCTGAAATATTCCAAAATCCCAAAATCCAAACTTTTGGGGGAGAGATGGGGGTATCAAGGATCGAACCCAGGGGTGCTCAACACCTGAGCTACATCCCCAGCATATTGAGACAGAGTCTCACTGAGTTGCTTAGGGCCTCGCTAAGTTGCTGAGGCTGGCTTTGAACTTGCAATCCTCCCGCCTCAGCCTCCCAAGCCACTGGGATTACACACATGTGTCACCGTGCCTGGCCAGAATCCAAATTTTTGAACACCAACATGATGCCACGGGTGGAAAATACCACACCTGACCTCACGTGAAAGGTGGCTGTCAAAACACTAGGCACATTAAAAATACAGTATAAAATTACCTTCAGACTCTGCATGGAAGATGTATATGAAGCATAAATGAATTTCACATTTTGACATAGATCCTACCCTCGAGATATTGCCTGATGTCTCTGGAAATATTCCAGAATCTGAAATATGAAACACTACCAACCCCAAGCATTTCAGATGAGGGGGTCACCCAATCTGTATATCCAAAATATCACTCTGACATGTGACTAATACAAAAACATTTCCGTTTAAAATGTGTAAAATTTTGACATGTAATACAAAAACATTTTAGTTTAAAATGCTTAGCATATTTTAAATTCTCTTTTTCATACTGTCTTCAAAGTCTAGAGTGTGTTTTACATTTTTACCCCTCCTAACCTGGCCCAGTGCCACTTTTGTGCCCAACAGCTAGGTGTGGCTGGTGGCTGTTGCACCAGGCAGCAACGTCTAGAGCTCAGGAGGCTTAAGAAGCTCGAGATGCCCTCAGTCCCCCTGATTCAAGACCTGAACTTTTTTCCCCTATTTCCTTTCTCATCTGCTCCCAGCAATAGACATCAATTACCTCCACCTGAATGGATTTGTCACTTATGAATTTTAAGATTTTTCCTTCCATTAAAAGAATCTTGGAGCCAGGCACCGGGGCGGGCGCCTGAAATCTCAGCAGCTCAGGAGGCTGAGGCAGGAGGATCCCAAGTCCAAAGCCAGGCTCAGAAACTTAGCAAGGCCCTAAGCAACTCAGAGAGACCCTGTCTCTAAAGAAAAAATACAAAAGAAAAGGGCTGGGGATGGGGGGCTCAGTGGCTAAGCACCCCTGGGTTCAATCCCCAGTTCCCCCGGCCCCATAAAATTTCTTGGACATCAACTAAATAAGATAAAGATACATTGGGGGAGTGATAGGAGGTGGGAGTCTTTGGACTTTATTCTTCTTCCTCCTCTTTTCTTCCCAAATCTTTCCGTCTGGTCAAATGCACAAGCTACACAGCAGAGTGGACAAAATGGGTGGTCAAACTGACCCGAATATGCATTTTTTTTTTTTAAGGTTCAAAAGTAAGAAAATTTCATACACAACTCCAGGCGGCCAGCTTCTCTTGAGAAAGATCAGGCCGCACTGGGACCACGGCCTCACACAGCTACCGGTTTTGAGACCTGAGCAGCAGCCACCAGGGCCCTTTTGTTGGCCACAGTCCCCACTCTGCCCTAGAAGTCTACACCAGAGCCTCAGGGGCCACCCGTCTCTGCAGGAGGGCAAGGTCTGTCTCTAGCCAACCCTCTGGCACAACCCCAAAGTCACCTGCATTGGCACGCCCTGGGCTAGGACGGGGCAACACTCTCCTTTTAGGATCTGAAATGGTACGTGGGAGAATGTCAATCAGCTGAGCCGAGTCCATCCAACGGGTGATCAGTAAGAGCAAAAATCAATCAGAATGCTCACTCTTGACCGGGCTCAGCAGAAATCAGGGAGGTGTGACTACTCCTCCTTCACATCATCATCTGTGTCACCCTGTCTCTCAGACCGTCACCCACTCCACCTCCTCCCCCCAGCAAGGAGGCCCTTCCCCCTCTCTCCTTGGGGACACTGCTGAGTGCCTGGGAAAGCCAGCCGGGACCCCAAGGGTCCCAGCAGGGACACTCACTGGAAATCCTCCGGGTCAGGCTGTAGGTGGACTTGGATGTGTCTGAGGACGAGCGTCTCCCATCCGGGGAGTTGGTCCGGGGAGTGAGGGGGACGTCGCTGGCTGTGTGGACGGAGTCGCCATCCTTCTCGCTGCTGCGGCTGGCCATCCTACAGGCGGGGAAGAGGGGCCGCGGGTTGTCGAGCAATCCCCGGGGATGTGCCCCCCCGCGACCCCGAATTTCATTGGCTGCCTGCACCTTTTATGCACCAGGAGCAGGAAGCAAGCGCCTCTCCAAAGGCTGAGGGCAGACCCCGCCACGGGATGAAAGAGACCCCCCGGGAAGTGGCTCTCAGATCCGCTCCTCGCACTTGATGCGACTTGGAATAACACAGGTCACAGTGTGGTCGCCTGAGACTCTCCGTAGCATCTTGCTTTACAATGTGACGTGATGCCCAGGAATAGTCCCCAATGTAGACCAATCTGTCAGGGATCTGCATTATTTCAAAGCTGGAGTTGGTGGGTGGGGAGGGATGTGTAAATCCGGGCTGTTGCCACGTGGGGGCGCCACTTTGGCTAAGTGAAGACAGACCTGTCAAGGAGGCCTGTCCATCTTGGGTCCAAAAGGGTACTTTGTGGTTGTTTATCGGCATCCAAACTTGTGCAAGTGGCTTCTGGTGACAAGAGTCCTACTATTTCAACACTCCCTGGGTCTATAATTTAACATCCTTCAGAAATCTCCTATAACACTGTCACTCAAGGGCTCTCTGAGTGGCAGGGCAGCCGCTGCAAAACAGCCCGGAGAATCAATGATTGAAGAACAGAAATTTGATGGGAAGAAACAGCCATGAATTTGCAGCAGCACCAACAGCCGTGCCTCCAAGTACCCTCCCCCCACAAGAAGGGACACATAAGGTTCTGGGGGGCGGGAGAGGAGATGGGGGACGAGCAGGGAAGGAGTGATAGGAGGTGGTCACTCTGTGCCCTGGCTGGGTGCTAGGGGCAAGTTCCTGTCCCTCTCTGAGCCTCATTTCCCCACAGTGCTGCCTTGTGTGGCTGCTGTACCTGCTGGACACGTTAACATAGAAGATGCTAGAACAATGTTTGGTATGCTGTGGGCAGGCGCTCGGTGCGCCTCAGTGATGTCATGACAACAGGTGTGGCTTGAGGGTCTCCTGAATACCCACCAGGCTGCTGAGGAGGCTGGGGACGGCAGGGGCAGGGAAAGCTGGCCATGCGGACGGGGAACCTGCAGCTCCAAGGGCCCCTGAGTCACCAGGCAACGGCCCATCCCCCAGGCCACACCCCAGCCTGACTTTCTGCTTGCAGCAGGTGATTTCCAGGAAGTCTCCCCAGGCAGAGCTGACGGCAGGGGAGGGGGACAGGCAGGACCCCAGGCCCGGTGCTGAGAGGGGAGGAGCAGGTAGCAGAAGGGGGGGGGAGCAGGGGCGCGGGGACAAGCTGAAGCCGTCCTCATGTGTCTCCTTTAATGGAAGCAGGCCTCCTCCTCCAGGGAAGGAAGGGCCTGGGTGTTTCCACCCCGGGGCGCCTGGGGCACCTGTCCTCCTGCCTGCCCCGGCTCACTCTGGCACCTGTCCTTCTGCCAGGACTTAAATGCACCACCCCAAAGCCTCTCAGACACAATCGCCCACCTCTGCAGCCACCAGGCCCCTGCCGTCCCCCCATCAGGCCCAGCCATGCCGTTCTCCCTGCCCAGAATGTCCCTCGGGTCCCCTGGACCAGCGCCTTTTCTTTCTCTCTCTCTCTCTCTATTTTTTTTTTTTTTGGTTCCAGGGATTGAACTTAGGAGCACCTGACCACTGAGCCCCATCTCCAGCCCTATTCTGTGTTTTATTTAGAGACGGGGTCTCACTGAGCTGCTTAGGGCCTCGCTTTTGCTGAGGCTGGCTTTGAACTCGCCATCCTCCTGCCTCAGCCTCCCGAGCCTCTGAGATGGCAGGCGTGTGCCTTGGCGCCCGGCTCCAGTTCCTTCTTAACGTTTAGGTTGCCGAGGGTCCCATCCTGTGCTGGTCACCCCCACCCCCATGTCCCTGCTCCTTTTCTCCCCCTGCTGCTCTCCCCAGGGCTCCTCCTCCCTGGAGGCTGGCCTGCTCATCCTCGGTCTTTGGCACCACACGGCGGCTCCCCGTAGGGGACTCTGCCCACCCACCTGGCCCTGGCGGTGCCTGGCACACTGAGATGCCCCACATTTCTCTTTTCAATGAATGAATGAACACGCCTTTCCCGGGGTCCTTATCTGAGTCTCAGGTCACAGGTCTCTGAGTGAATGTCCCTTGTCCCCTCTCTCCCCTCTCACCCTTCAGGCAACCAGGGGTCAGGGTGAAGCCCGGCCCCTCCCCCAGGGGTCCTGAAATCCAAGCCCCAGGGCCACACGTGGGGGACAGAGGGATAGGGAACAGGCACAACCGTGATGAGCAGGACCCCCAATGAGCCCAGGATAATGACGAGGTCTGCAAGTGGTGCATCCCCTGTGGGCCCGGTCCCCACTGTGCACACGCTAGACACTTAAGGTATGCGCCGGGGACAAATACATAAGCACCGTTATTAATTGTTACTCCCCAACAAGGGATCCTCTGCCGTGACCCCACAGCAGCCAATCGGATCACGGTTTTTCAGACCCTTACCAGCCCAGCCCCGCCCAGCTGAAGAAAGCTGGTGACTTGAGTAATAAGATGTCCCCTGAGATCACCTGCAGAGCACAGGCAAAGGGCCAGCTCCTCTGCCACGTGCCACTACACAGAGGTGGCTCTTGGGCTCTCAGAGGTGGCTCCCAGCTCTGATGTCACTGTAGGAGCAGCTCCGCCAAGCCGGCGCTAGTGACAGCTCTCCTCTCTGCCTGTTTGATGACATTCGACTGCCCACTTGGTAAATCAATCTGGGGCGAACACAAGCTGTAAATTCGCTTTCTGAACGACGTACCCTGCCTCCCTGGCACAGATTTCGCATGCCCTGTCGCATTCGGTCGAGTGCCCAAAAGTGGGTTAAGCGCTGCTTGGGGTCGAGGGGAGGAGACCTGGTTCATCCTGGGAAGCGTGAAGCTCATGTATGGCTGTTCACGCTGCAGACTGCACAACTCTAGATGGTGCCATTCATCCAGACCACATTGTGAAGGATGCCACCTGGAGTGTGTGTGGTGTGCTGACCCGGGTGGGAAAGTTCCGGTCCCCTTCTTCCATTTCTCGGCTTGTGGCAAAACCAAATGACATGGGTCTGCTTGTGGTATCTGCCCACCCGGGGCCCATTCCCTCCTCTGGAGTCAGCAAACTGCACAGCCAGACCCCCGCCCGACCTTGAAATGGTGCGTCATGGGACTGCAGCCATGTCCCTCGGTTCTGCTTATCAAGGCTGCTATCACCCAGCTGCAGGAGAGGGAAGAGGTTGCCATATGGCCCCTAGGTTAAATATTCACCCTCCGGCTCCTGACGGGAAACAGCCGCCAGTCCTCGGTGCCCGAGCTTAGCTCCTGTGTGACGGTGGCTCTGGGGTGGGCAGGCGAGCCAGAATGATTCTAGAGCATCATTTCCTCCAAGGGAAGGGCTAGGTCAAGTGACTGACTCAGGACACAAGCCAGGCCAGTGAGTCTCTCCTGATTTGGGTTTCTTTGTATTTTTTTTTCTTGCTACAAAGACAATAGAAGGTAAGTCTAGTGCTAGCTTGTGGGGAGAGCAGCCCCATTCAAAAAAGAAACAGAAGAAAGAAACGATATCACGTGGCTACTGGATCCAGCCATGCCTGAAGCCCTCATCCACGGACTATCCATAACAAGACCCTCTGCTGGGCTGTCCCATACGGTGTGCAGGGTGTGAATGCACAACTCAAGGGGACAACTGGACTTCCCCACCTGACTTAGGTCCTCTATGAAATCCAAAATCCCCCAGCATGGTAACAGGACCCCAGCTCTGTGTGTACTCAGGAAGTAACTACCAAAAAAATGACAGTCACTTCTCAACTGGATGGCTGGCACTTCCGGGATTCCTTTTCCACCTGCAGGTTAAACTGGTTTTTGGTTTTTTTTTTAAAGTGGTCAAGATAGACAAAATTCCCTGTCCTGCCAGAGTCCGCCCTCTTGCAAGCAGAGCTTTAATGAGACCAGATGGGCTGAGCCAGTGTCTGCCACAGAAGCTGCCGCACACTGGGAATTACTTCTCAATGAATGAGTTGCTTTCACCAACGTCTCAACTTCAGACGCACTCGGAGGACTCGGGCTGCCCACAGATAAGGGAAAGATCTTCGGCACCTTGACACCAGCTTCCAGGCTCTCTGTCCACAGCTAGTGACGGCAGAAGCCAGTTCTTACAGAGCTCAGACTGCGGTGCTGAGCGTGTGATATGCCCCTCTCACTTACCCTCAGTCACAATCCTGTAAGTTCTTTTACTATTCCACTTTCCAGATGAGGAAACCAAGACCACAGTACAGTAAAAAGAATCCATTCCTGATCGACAAGGTGTGGTCAGGATTAAGTACTTTTCCATACGGGAATTCATTTATTCCTGCAATTCCTGCAATTAATCTCAGCACTAGGAGATGCCTCTATCTTATCATCCTGTTTTACAGATGGGAAACTGAGGCACAGAGTGATTTTTTTTTTTAAAGTAGCTTGCCCAATTCACAGTACTAGAAAATGACTGTAGAAATAGGATTTGAACTCACACAGTCTGACAGAGAGCCACTCTGCTGTGGAAAGATCTGGTACTTGCTTTTCTGTTTTTGTTTTTGATACTCAGGATTGAACTCAGGGGCGCATAACCACTGAGCCACATCCTCAGTCCTTTTTATTTTTCAATCTTGAGACAGGGTCTCACTAAGTTGCTGAGGCTGGCCTCAAACTTGCGATCCTCCTGCCTCAGCCTCCCTGAGTCTCTGGGATTACAGATTTGGGCCACTGCACCTGGCTGAAGTTTGCTTCTAAGGAGAGAAAATGAGAAGACTGATCCCCAACCTGCAGGGAAAGCCAGGGATCAGAAGCTTCTGGAATCCCAGCCCAGGGACTCAGCTCGGACAGTACAGGGTACATGCCCCGGGGCTGTGGGGACTGGTATCACCTCTCTTCCTTTTCTGGGGCTCCTCCCCGGCCTGAGGAGCTGCACTTGATGATTTGCAGGCCCTTCCTCCTGGCCTTTACCCAGACTCTCTGACCACGTCCCTCTCCCAGCCCCAGGGAGGTGGACCAGACACGTGGCTGAGAAGCTTCAAAACTGCGTTCCCAAAATATCTGAGCGACTGGCAGATGGAGATGTTGTATGCAGGCGCGGGAGGAAAGCGAATTAGAAATAAAATGAAAGATAGCTAGCGAGAACATAAACAGCGTTGGAGGGCTGGATGGAGCCCAGAGGTACTTTCCTGCTTCCTTGTTTCTGAAATTCTGGTTTGGACCAGCAAAGAAAAAAAAAAGGCAATTGCTTGTTCATCCATCTACCCCTCTGTGCAAAAAATACTTATTGAGCATGTACTAAAGTGCGGAGAGTCGGGACAACTTGTCTGGGATGCAGACCCTTAGACTGTGATCATCCTTTGAAGAATGCCAATGTGCACAGATGTCTTTTCCTCTTGGAATATCACTCCCCGGGATCCAAAGTGCCCACACAATTAGCACTGGGAGGCCATCTCCCATCTCAGAAGCCCCGTGTGAAACCAGCTGAACTACAGCTACCCCACGGGACCAGCTTGCCAGACAAAACAAGGAGTTCAGGACACATCCCCACCAGCAGCCGAGATGCCCCACGGAGACTCACACCCCAAAATCAAACTCTCTCGGGTGGCCTGGACACCCGACTCTCAGGTGGTACTTACAGCCAGGGAGGAGTCTGCGCAGGGAAAGGCCCCAGGATTTCCACTTCATCCTCACTTGACTGGCAGCAGCTGGACTCGTAGCACTTCTGACAGCAGTGCCGGCAGCTCCATCTACACATCAGCAGATCAGAGATTCTAGAAAGAAAACCCTGAGGCCCCGGGGGAGGTGGGCAGCGGGCGAGGGGGGAGAGGGAGGGGAGAAACAACACCCAAAATTACAAGCAGCCGATCCCGGCGGGAAACAAAGACAGGAGCATGACTCGGACGCGGAGCCTGGAGAGCAAGATGTTTTCCATCTCTGTTTACCCACCGCGGCACAGAGACGGCCAACATCCGCGCCCAAGCTGCTGACAGCCAGCCACACATTTGCAGGTATTTCTTTCCTAGTGTCCGGGAGCATCTTTCTTGGTGGGCCTTTGAGTGTTTTCTAGAACCCCGTGAGGGCTAGACAATAGGTTCTCCCAACACTGATGAGTCTAACTCTCTTCTTGCAAAGCAAAGAAGCAAAAAAAATTGTTTTCTTTTTTTTTTTCCCCAATGATCTCGAAAGTGAACGGGGAGAGTCAAGCGGAATGAGCGGGGTAAGGCGGGACATCTGTCTTGCTATCAGTGCTTCCTCTGACATGGGGATTGCCTTTCAGTCGAAAGGCAGGGGAACGGGGTGCCCCTGGTCCACAGCCAGTTATTACTGAATCGTCAACGTCCCCGAAACCCCACATGACACTCCAAAACGAGAGACAAGCCCTTCTTGATGAGAAAACCAGACCCAACACATCATTGAATTAACCCACCTCGTTCAGTGGTTCCAGCTGCCCTTTTAGAGATCCACACCGAAGCCCAGGGGCGGGAGGAGGTGAGGGTTGGAAGAGAGAGAGAGAGACCAGTTTAGCCATATTCCAAAAAAAAAAAAAAAAAAAAAGAGAGAGAGAGAGAAGCACGTCACCTGGAAGGCACCCTGCATCTTCCACTTACCATCCTGGGAAGGGAGAGGAGTTTCTAACAAGGTGTTGCTATGCTCAGGGCTGCTGGTAGCCTCCTGATTAGCCAACACCGAATGAATGGGCAACTTGAGCATTTCGATTGGGTTTGCACCGTATGCTGTTATGAATCAGAGCGGGTGGATAGAGAGTCATGCTATCCAGCACAGCCAGACTCCAGGGGACTCGCAAACCTTCCTATACAGAAATAGCCACGAAGCCACCCCAAAAGGACATCATGAGCTAGCGTGCAAGCAGGCACCGAATGGATGGCACTTGGAGCCCACGCCCTGCCGGAGGCCCTACCTTCCAATTCTGCTCCAATAGTGATGTGCAGAGTTTTATATGACCACCCACTAATCGGGGGAGTTGGACAGGAAGCTGCGGTCAGGTCCTCAGGAGGCGGGGGACCCCCCCACACCCTATCTGCTTCTTACAGGTTCTCAAGGCACAGACTCCCCCACCCTCTTGCTAATGATTTTCAAATGGGCTGAGTACACTAGGAAGCTCAGGGGCCTGCAGCCCAGCCCAGGATGCCTCCCGAGATGCACTGGGGTGCCCAGCTCAGAACTTTGAAGTCAAGAGGGGGACGTTATCATCTTTTGGGGGGTCTCTTGCAAGCAGGGAGAAGGTCTCTGTTTGCTCCCGTGGACATATTGACTTCTTTCCGACCCTGGATCACGCCCACCTTCCCTTTGAAACAAAGGAAGGTGAGCCCAGCTCTGAGCCCCAGGTCCGCCCTGCCCAGCTGCAGGGAACGATACGGAGTCGCTTTCCAGTTACTTTCTGCATCCACCGCCCCGTGATCTGGGTTTCCTATTAGGGTACTTGACATAAAGTTTCCTCTTCACATGATTTTTTGAAGTTAAAAAAAAGTCCACTTATAGAAAAAACAATTAATAACAGTATAGGTCATACATGGCTCATGGAAAGTTCAGAATCCTTGAGGCCGCCAGAGACGAACTGCAGCTTGGGAAAGACTCCAACATACTCCCCCAAACCCCAACCTCAAACCACACACAGAACAAGATCTGAAGGTGCACCCAAAGGAGCCGGGTGGGGGAGTGCCAATCAAGGCCCCGCCCCACTGACTGGCCATGTGACTTGAGCAAGTCAGGGAGCCTCTCAGAACCTGTTGCTTCTTCTCTTTAGTAGAAAGGCCACTCCCTACTTCAAGGGGTGCTGTTGAGATAGGACTCGGACTATGAAAAAGCTTGGGTACTGCCTGGCTGCAAAATAAAATGCACTCTTTCTGTGTCTTATGAGAACAAGGTGATTGATTGCCCAGGCCCCAGGTCTTGTCCTGGCACATACACACAAGTACACGGATCAGCAGGAATCTGTCACCTGGCGGGGTTTACAGGCCAAAGGGCTTCAACTTGTTTGGAATAAAGTGGTGTTTATTTACAAAGTCCCATGTCCATTCTCTCGTTCCCTGGGCATAGGCTGGTCAAAAGGGCACCATCTAAAAAACCATGATGACCAGACCCAAGGCCACTGTGTGCCCCTGCTGAGGATGCACAGTTTTATCAAAGCCCAGGAGCAAGATGAGTGTCGTGAAGTAAAAAGAACCCAAGAAAGACAAAAGGGTCAAGGGAGGAGAGGTCCTCTGGATTGCCGCCTCTTCCTCACACTGGGGCCCTGGGCTCGTGGGTGGTCAGCAATGGAGAACTGACTGAGACCAGAAGGTAAGGGAAGGAGAACCCAGCTAATCTAATCAGAGGCGGGCAGGTAAGGCCCCAGAGCCTGCTTCTCTCTACAGCCCTCCAGCTAAAACGGATTGGTATATTTTAGATGGCTGGGGGAAAAAAGTCCAAAGTAGGTTACTCCTTATGGACTTGTGCAAAATGTCCAAAATTTAAATTTCAATGTCCAAAACAACTAGTTTTATTGGAACACAGCCACGCCCACTCAAGGACTTCGGTGGCTGCTTCACCACTACAGAGTTGAAGAGCTTTGACAAGGAGCACGTGAGCCTCCAAGAAAAAAAAATATTCACTTTCTGGCACTTCACAGAAGTTCACCAACTTGTTCTGTAAGGAAAAGTCGGTATCCGGAGCCCTCACGTGAGATGCTGAAGGTTACCTCCCATACTATCCCCAACAGGTGTTTTAGATCCTACCTGGACCCCTGAACAGATGGGTGGCCTTGGGCAAGCACTTAATTTTGGGGCTGCAGGTAGTCATTAAAAGCCCCCAAAGGCTTGTTTTAAGGTTCATTTTTCACTAGATTGTGCATCCAGAGGGGCAGGGACTGTGCTGCTGTGCTTCAGCACAGGGGGTGGTCACCCAAGTATTTGTCCAGTGACGAGTGAACAATCTCAGGACAATATTCAGCACATAGTAAATATGACCTTCGTTGAACTTGAAATGAGGACCTAGGGATTCCACTAAAAGGAAGCCAATCCAGGGATTCTTAGCCAGAAGAGGAGTGGGGAGTCTCTGCCAGGTGACAGACCACAGAGTCCCTGGGTCTGGGGACAAGAAGAAGGAATGCGTGAGCCAGCAGCCCCCAGCCTGGGCTGAGGGGATAAGATGAGGCCCCGGGAGGGTAAGCGTTGGCTTTGCTGCCAGGCTCAGGCGGAGGAGCCAGCTCCCCAAGTCAGCAGCTCCATGGGTCTGACAGCCAGTCTGACTGTGTGACCTTGGCATTGACCTGTCGCCACGTCTCTCTTTGCAGAGGAGAAACGTCTCTCAAATAAGCAGCCCAGCTCATCCCCACCCCACCTGCCAAAGAGGTGCTTGGAGATTATTTCAGCCCATGGGTTCCTGGGGGAGCTTCTTCAAGGTGATGGAGGGAGGGTCCAAACTCCCAGACCCCAATGCAAGGAGCTAAAGTGCCAGGCTCCTTCACCTTCGCCAATGCGCTCTGGCCTCTATGTCCCCCACCCCTCAGTACTCAGTGCCCGGGAGAGACGACGTCCTTGTCCCTCCTGGCCGGAACAGCTGCCTCAAGCTAGCTCCGCCGGCCAA